TCCAGTGTCTCATTACGTCTGTTGTTCAAGTGCATTTCAATGTATGACAATGACATGTCAGTCTCGTCTTTAAAGTCACATTAATTGTCGAARTGTGATAGAGTCCAAAATTATCGAATTGTTACAGTGTTGGAATCCATCCTTAAATCACACCGAACAGACTGAGTGCCACGTCGTTTAATAAGTAATACTATGTACTCGTACGTAAATTATCAAAGTGCGATGGAACCCATTCTCACTGTACTTAAGCCGTAATCTCGTTTGTTGTGTGATTCGTTTGTCGTGTGATTGCCTAACGCTTAAAGTTTACTCTTCGATCGATTTTATAACATAACTTAGTGTCACGGAATCCATACTTCGTCTAGACTATTAGTACTTAAACCATCAGTGTGCTTGCCTTAAATGTCCCACTTCCATTGTGTTTCAACGATCGATTTAATAAGTTAAGTTAGTAAATATTTAATAGAGTTAATTAAAAACAAAAATTATCGAAGTGTGACGGAATCCATACTAGACTATTAGTACTAAAACCATCTGTGTGCTTGCCTTAAATGTCCCACTTCGAGTTTCAATAAATTTAGGGAAGTCTCAATGTCATCTAAAAGAGGTCCGACTCAATGGTGACACAAAATTGAGCAAGGTGGGAAGAAATCGAGAGTTCAAAAATTCATGTTCTAGCCGTAACAGCTTTTAAGTTACGAAATTGATGGAAGTGCAATGAAATCCACACTCAATCCATTACGATTAGTAAGTGATTGCCTTGAATCTCGAGTTTAGATTCAATTTACGGTCTCTCAATTGCATTCTTTGGGTTCCTGATTTCCATTCAAGTCCAAAATATAGCGATTTTAACATGAAATTAGTAGCTTGCTAGTACGAATTTAAAATATAATGTCCTGTTTTAACGGATAACATGTTGTACTGGGTTGATTGCTGTTTAGAACACCTGTTCCACATTGTTTCTCTCCAGTTTGTTGTTCTTCAAATTAAATGTCTCGTTGATTGGATTTTGAGTTAAATAGCTGCTGAACCACCATTATTTGTCATCTTGATTGACTGTCTCGCTGGTTAAATGTCGATTGCTACTGATCCGACTCTTGAGCTGATTGCTGAACTAAAAGTCGCTCCTGAATGTTGTCTCTAAAACGCTGTTTTCGGAATGTAGATTGACTGTCGAAAGTTGCTGGCTGAAAACTGATTGTAATGTCATTAAATGTTGGTCAAGAAAAGACTCAATAGCAATTAAATGTTGATCGTGCAGTAACTGACCAGCACTCAAATACCGCTCAAAGTATCGTCCCGAGCATTGTCTTGAATGCTATATTCTGCTCTAAGTGCTATTCCGAGAACTGCTGTGAGTACAACTCCGAGCGCAGTTCTGGTTACAGTTCTGAGTACTCTTCTGAGCACAGTTCCGAGCACTATCCTAAGTACTGTTCTGAGTGTTTATCTTGAGCACTGTTTTCTAGTCACGTTTTCCAATTGCCTATTCTACCTACAATTGCTGGTTGCTGGATGAGAACTGAACATTGTCGGTTGACTGCTGGCTGAGAAACGGAACCTTGAGGAAATTGCGGACTGAGAAAATAAGAAAGCTGCTAAGGTTGCCGACTGAAACCGAATACTGCCGAGCAAAGGTTGCTTAAGGCCTGCTGAAGTTAAACTCATCACACAATAGTCACCAAAAGTTGAGCACAACCTGTTGTCCGCTTGCTGACGCGTGACATTATGAGACGCTGATAGTGTACTAGTCAAACGATTGATTATGTTCTGTCCAACCGTTGTGTGAGCACTGTTTCATAATTTGCATGGATATCAATCTTTCAATCTGAGTGATAATTGAACTGATTCATTGGGCCACTGGTTCACGAAGACCATGTACCTTCATCTTACGGAGGAGCAACAACTTCTGCCGTTCGCATATTAATGAAGTCCAAAGAAAGGATAGTTCGAGTACTACTGAGCTCGCAAGAGCCTTGCCTTGGCCTGCTCCACTGTTTCTAGAGAGAAACTGGTGCTGTGCAGCCTGCCATTATGGCCATAAAAGTAGGCTACATACTCTATGTAATTCTCCCTCTTAACCATCCTAACTGCCAATTCTCGCCGAGCCTGTTTATGGTGTTCAATATCCCGACATTCCTTTTCTTCCCGCCCCTCTCTCTTGTCTCTAAGGAAATTGTATTTTACCACAAGAACCTTACTACTCCTCATATTTCCCTCCGCGTTCTAGCTCTTCAATAATTGGAATAAGCCACCCGCTACTCAGGTGATAATAGTTTTTAAAGAAAGAAAACCGTTCTCAGGTTTGGAGCCTCCAAAACAAATTAAACACAGATCGAGGAACCCGAGTGATCTGCCGAGGAGGTTTGGCCGTGGGTTCTGTGCTGACTTTGCAGAGTCGTTCACTGAATCTGCGCCGAGTTCACTGAGCCTATTGGTCAGCCTGTCAGACCCCTGTTTGGTTTCGTCGGGAGTCGTCCAGGTCCTCCATTAATCAAGCTCTCAACCGAGTTCGTACTTGCTGAGTCGGCCTAAACAAGTCAACTGAACATGGACTGTAACTTGTCGAGCGCTGATTAAGCCTGTGAAACTTCTGACTTTGCAAGGCTTAAGACGAGTTCACAAATTTCCCTGTATTTTTGTCGAGTCAGTACTTGGCCACTCATTGACYGAATCACCTGCTGTGTAAAGTTAGTGCTCAGCAAGTCCAAACATAAGAGAGTTGAGACACCTGCTGAGCCTTCTAATTCTACATCAAATTATCTGAACCTGTATTGAATTATCTGAGATTGTGTTGGACTGCCTGAGTCTGTTGTGAGTTTTGCTCAAATCTCGCCTGGGTGGTTGAGGTCTGTATCGAATTGTCTGAGCCTGAGTCGAGCTGTCTGCCAATCCAAAAGCTGCGAGTGTTGGGTTTTTGCCTGATACTTATCAGGTAGTGGTTTCCTTTCAGCTTCTGACGCACAAGGCAACACTCGTGGCATGTTCTGATTCGTTTTTCCCATGGCAGCGAGTATGTAGTTTTCACAGTGTCGACAAAATCAAGTAGGATCGTGCCCGTTGAGGTAATGTACACTTCCCCAGTGTTACGACCAAGTAGGATCCTCAAATTGATTTTGTCCAATTCTAGTCCTAAAAGCTGGAGTAGTCTCAAAGCGTGTGTCGTGCTGAGAGACCTCCCGGAACTGACCTTCTTCAAGCATGACACTCTGATGCACGACCACTCAACCAGTCTGCCATGACCTGCGATGCAGTGCGATGCAGGATCAAGAGCAACTCAAGAGTAATCGCTTATCACCATCCATTAAGAATTTTGCCAATAGATACCCAACGTCCTTTAGAATGCGGTGCTTCTTGCCCATCAGAGAAACATACTTGCATTACAACCTTTACTACTTGCTACTGACTTACTTAATGCGAGAAGGGTCAATATAAACACGCAAAACACTTCCCTGAGCTTGGTTATTTTGTTAATTTCCTTGATCCCTTGAGCAATTGGATACATGACCCGGACTTTCGTCAGAACAAAACCGTGAGCACAATTAACAATAAATGAATTCGATAAATAATAGTTAAGTAAAAAGGGTAAAACATGTTATTCGTTAAAATAGGACATTATACTGTGTCCTCTTTCTAACGAATTCATTTTTTGGTTACTGCCTAAGCAACGCAGGCACGCCCATCCGCCGCTTAACCACATGCAGAAGCGTGCTGAGATCCGTACTTGTGAAACTTTACAACTAATATCCGAAATGCGAAAGCATGTTGAGACCCATACATGTTAGGCATGCCACCCGGGAACCCTGTGCGGAGGCGTGTTTGGATCCTGACTTGTTGAACTTCAAAAACGTAAAATAAATCCTTTGCGGAAGTGTGTTGGGATCCATACTTGTTAAACTTGAAGTTCATAAACGAATGACGACTGGCACGGCCATCAGGGAACCCTTTGCGGAAGTGTGCTTGTGAAGTTTAGAAATTTAATGAAAGACATGTCATTGATTATATTGTGTCCTCTCTATGACGAATTCATATTTGGCTGCTGCGTTTCCACGTAGGCACGCCCATCCACTCACCCTAAATGTGGAAGTGTGCCGAAATCCATACTTGTTGGACCTTATAAACAAAATGAGCAATACACTCAGATTGAGAAGCACAATATAATTCTTTCTATCTATCCCTGAGCTACACAGGCAGGTCCGTAGTCTCGCCTGAGAAACTCATTCGGATGTTTGATGACATTCTGATTTGGTAAGAAAACGTAGTATATTGACAGACACGCCCATCTATGAACAGTAAGGGTGTCCAGAAGTGTGTTGAGATCCATACTTGTCAAACYTGTAGTTCATAGAGTGTGCTAAACAAGGTGTCATGATTGAACCGTTGTTGGACAACACATCCAAGTTTCTTCATTAGGTTATCCCAAAGTTGTGCAAGTATACCCATCGTCTTGGCCGACATTAGGGCACTGAGATCCATACCTGTTTACAGTTGTGATGAGGAAGGTGTACTATAACGACCACTCAACTTTGACGTGCCATGCACAAGTTTAGAACTTCAAATTTTGCTTATTCATCCGCTCTTCAAATGGCCATGCAAAGAAGGTATGGTAACACACGCAAGGTTGTCGGTTACATACAATGCTTGTGGTTTTAAGGCATGTGATCCTATGCCCACTCAAGAGACATGACGTTACTGCTCCGTACATTTATTACTGCATCCATTGACCAATTTGTCATGCATCCACACGGCATTGAGATTTGTCACACAGTAGATGAGATTTGTCGTGCATTCACCGACCGATCTAGCAATCATATATACACTTCGAGTTGAACAGGTTTTGGAACATGGAACGGAACGTATGACATGATCCGCTGCATGAGACACGAACAGGACGTGATAGAGAAGTCTATTGACGACCCCTGACAAGCAATGAGCCCGCCAAGGAAAACTCAAACTCGCAACGACAACAGAAAGCAATGTCGCTGTCAAAACAGCAGCCGAATAGTGGCATGATTTACGAAATATAATCAACAACAAACGGAATACCTTAAAGAAAAGTTCCTCAGCCAAGCAAATCTACAAAAGACAACGACATTCTAAGATACATGACGCCAATTGTCGTCTAATAAGCAGAATATCTTGAGAAGAGAACCAGAAAGGCGGTTGATCACCACGTTGCAACAACGTCGCGAACATCCACATGAACACCCCGCAACTAGCTCCATCCACTTGTCTCGGAACTCCATCCACCACAACATTTCCCGGCATCGACTTCCAATTCCTACCGGACCGCATATATGATGTTTGACGTTCCAAATACTCTACAATCAACTCGAAAACACTTATGTAAAATCTCAAATCAGATAAAACTCGAGGAAAAGAATCAAAAATTTCGAGAACGTCATCTCTCAAGTTGACGATCGACCGTACTCGCGGCTTCTCAACCGACGTAGTTCGGACCCCAACGGACTTCGACGTTCCGCTGGAGCGCCTGCCTAGAGTGACCAAGGCTGCTAACGTCTCCCTCGCTGATCCGACGGACGAAGCCGGTCGGTCGGTGGACTGTGTCGCATGCTCCTGCGAGGGGCCAGCAGACTGATCCTGACCGAAGGCAAAACCCGCCGCCCCACCGCTGCTTCCCAGGGCTGTGGTGCTGCCGTAATGCCCTCCCTCCCCGACGGGCGGATATCCTTCGCCTCCCCACCTACCACCCCCCCCGTCCCCTCTGCTTCCAGGCCCACCCCCCCCGGGACCACCGTGTGGCCCACCGGGAGGTGGCACTTTCCAGTTCACCACGCCCTTCGACGGGCTCGTGTCGAGGTCGTAGTAGTCCCCCGTCAACTCGAACCAGAACTTGTCCTGGAGCTCGTCGAAAACTCGCCCGGCTGTGGAAACGAGTGACGGGTCGTCGGGTGCAAACATGTCATTTTCGGCCCTCACTTTCTGGAGGACCGAAATCCTCGCGAGGTGCAGAAAGGTGGACTTCGACTCACGCGGAATTGACACCCATCCCCCATCCGGGACTGCGACGGCCATGACCCACTCGCCCTTCTGTATCGCTGGCTGGATGACACCTGGATGCCAAATCATGTCATGGCCCCAGTCTGCCTCAGGCAAATGGCTTTGTGGCGCAAGAAGAAAGTGGATGTTGTCATCCTTCCATGACGTATGGTCGGGCGGAATGTCGGCCCGGGACGCATAGCGTGCGGGGGAATTGCCATAGCTCTTAGCCTCTCCAGCAACTTCATCGGCGTTATGCCTGGAGACGGTCTTGCCGTTGGTGACACGAGTGGTGCCGCGGCTGCTGCGCTCGATGACGGACCAACCAACGACGACCCTCGGGCGTGCTCCGCCGCTGTTGGATCATACTGCAGGTCGAGGCTCTCGGTGTCACTCTCCTCCTCCTTCGCATTGGCGTCGAACTCAACACCGGTGGCTTCCTCGTCGTGAATGGAGATCAAGGAGGCGTAACTGGCTAACTTCAACTCCTGCTCGGACTCAACGAAGTACAACGACTGAAGCCTATCAAGAAACGTCTTCACGTTCATGCGGGAGGCGGAATGGTGGTTGTCGAGCAATGCCAACATGTGGTCCTTGCGACGGACGTACTCGGCGTCAGTGTCCGTCCTCGGCCGCGTTCAGGGGAACAAGAAGTCGTATATCTTGTTCCTCTTTCTCTCGCTTAACTTGAACCACATGTCCATCCTGTTGTTCCACACCAGATCCCGTGTCGCCTTTGCGACCATGAACTCGCAATTATGCGCCCCAGGATTGACCTCGCTTTTGACCAGTTGCATCGTGAATTAAAAAAGGTCGGAGTTCCCTTCCATAGCAACTACATGCCTGCCCGCTTTCAGAAGTTCCCAAACGCTTCCCGCGTGTCGTTTCCCGAGGAAGACGACACCCTCTCCCTTATTCGAAAGAAAATCAAGAAGACCGACGAATTGTGTCGGGTTGCGTTCCATGTCCCCATACACACTGCCCTGTCGTTCCGACGCGGTCTGCGACCAGTCGCAAGGCGAGAAGGGAATCTCCGACACATCCGTTGGGGTCACCCTCTGAGGCAACCTCACCACTGCAGCGGCACCCTTAGGCAACCTTCCCTCATAGACCACGGACGTGTTCACGCGCAGATCGTCGCCCTTGAAGAGGATGTACATGCGGTCTTCCTCGGTGTACAAATTGCTCCCCACAGGGAAGCTTTTCTTTTGCTGGGTCCTCCTCACCCACTTCCCTTCCAATAACTTCATGAATGAAAGATGGTGCATGCTGGCAACAAACGAGAGGTTTTGCTGCTGCGGCACGAAAACAACGAGAGTCGAATGCAAAGGACACAAAGTCTGAAGATAGGAATTCAGTGTCTCCCACGCTTGGGGTTTCCACAGTGTTAGGTCAACCGGCTCGCACAGATCCAGTACGAAGGTGTGGCTCTTCGTGGCTGCCACTGCCTCCTTCAATTCTGCACCCCTGATGTCAGCCTCCAAAGGGTCATTGCTGAACAGCGCGATCGATGTCACGTCCCCCGTGTCTTTCCATTTGATGTGGACAATGCCTTCTGCCAGTGCGACCTCCCGGCTCTTCAGTCTATTTCCTATCAACACAGAGAGAACCTTGTTTCTCCAGCCGACCGTCAACTTCTTGTGGCCCGCCAATTTTTCCGTCGCCTCGATGGAGTGGTCATCCTCACAACCCAAATACAACGGGCAGTCCTTTAACAAAGCGGAATCCGAAACGTATTTCCTACCACCGTCCCACAAATCGTCATCCAGGCCCCAACTTTCGAACTTCCTGAACACGGCGGACCTGTATTTCAGGAACGGGACCCGGTACTTTTGTATTCAATCCGCGTCTGGCGTCTTCTCGTGCTTGAATTGGTAGTAATTCCACAGCCGGACGAGCACGCGGTCGCACTTCACCAGCTGCACCATGTCCTGCACGCTTAGCTTTCCCAGCTTCGCCAACGACGGGGAGCCTGCCTGGACCCAAACGACCTCGCAAGCAAGGACCTTCTTCAGAACTCGACACTTGTTACTCCCGGTGAGTGTTTCCATCACTTTCCAATAATGCGCGTCCGGGTCCGGTACCTGCATGAACCAATCACCCTCCTCTTCCTCCTTTTTGCCTTTTTTGGTTGGCGGCTCCACGCGGACGTTGTAAACCACCTCCTTTCTGCCCAACTTCTCCTTGTCGATGTATGTCACCCCGGGCTTGACGTTTTTGAGCTTCTTTTTCTTGACGATCCACTTAGCCCCGTCGTGGCTCAACAATCTGCCATTCTCCCAAATTTCAAAAAATTCCATGGCCAATTTGCACACATTTTCGCCGGCCATCGCCAAAGGGAAATAACAACGCAAGGCAGCACTTTGTTTCTTAACTGCGTCTTCTCCTTTTGAGTCCGCGAGAAGCCACAAGGCATTGTGCGGTGCTTTGTTGAGCGTCGTTGTACAAAATTTACGCCAATCCTTTACCTGAGCTTGTCTCCCGCTAGGGTTCCCCATGACAACTCTAGGGGAACCATCGTGTTTCACTGCCATCGAATGTCTTTCATAGACAGTTTCAACTGTCTAGGAGGTGCCTTATGGTCTTTCTTGTTGTCCTGGGAGATAACAAGGAAATACCCGTCGAAGTCTTTGTAAGAAAAGTACAGCATTCGCGCTGGCCACTGGTCAAAATTGTACCTCTTGGCCACCTCGCTGCCGAGCAGCGACCGGGCTGCAGCCGCGTTGTGCTGCCCGCACACCGCGTAGTAGTAGTACCGCCCCGCCAGCTCGTCCTTCCATTCCTCCGGCTTCAGACGTCTCGCCCAGGTCCCCGGAGTCGGTTTTTGAAGCCCCAGCGGTGTGAGCTTCAGGATTGGCAATTCGTACGACTGTTCTTTATTCTCGAACGCCAACCACATCGCTTCTTTGATCATTCCCACTAGGACGGGATCCAAGGACCGTTGGTTGTACAGATCCTCCCACTCCCCAATGTCGACCACCCGAGACGGGCTAATCTCAAACTCCCGCCTTGTCCTGACGCCGTCTTTGTACTCGAGGAAGTACCCGGCGTCCACATCGATGGGAGACCGTGACGAGGAAGGCTCCGACTCAGGCTGCTTTTGTTTCGAAGCCGGTCGTTTGCCAACTGGGCGGTCCTGTTCCCCCCCCGTCCCCTTCCTTTTCTCGCCCGCACCCCTTGGGGTCTTGGTCTTCTGTTTTTTCGAAGAGACGACGAACTCGTCTTCACGATCGCCCCTTCTTTTCTGTGGAGTGATCTGCATTCCCTGTATACAAAATACAAAATAAAAATATATTAATAATCAACAACTATCTTTTTCCTTTTGAATGTATCACAAGAACAACTATAGTTAATTCAAGCAGACTTTCATACCTGTAGTATGGCATATATATAGAGCGCTTCATGGACCATTTGTAAAAATTTTGTACTCTTTCTTGATTTCAAACTTTTTTGTTACTATTGATGAAAAAATTATACCTTTCAATTAAGTGTTTAAAGCTTCTTTGGCAGCATACATAACTTCTACTGTTATCTCATTAATTCCATTTTCTCGTGCAAATTTTTTTGTGTTTCTTTTGATTTTACTTCTTACAAAGCCCGAAATTTTCTTTAATTCGTTTAATCCATCTGCGGTCCAAGTAAGATCACTCAGTCAGTTTCAAGGTCTCTTCAATCTTTAGTAAATTGTTGGGATGAACAGCAATTTACTCCTGGTTTGCCTATTACTCGAATCCCAGCAATTTACTAAAGATTGAAGAGACCTTGAAACTGACTTAGTGATCTTACTTGGAGCGCAGATCTTTCAATTTCTGGCCAAGTAAGTTTGCAATATGACTAGGGGTATTTTTTAAATACCATACATGAGCAACTGGACATCCAAGGGAAATATAGCCCATTCTATATCTTCTGACTCTTGAATAAGTAAATTCTACCTTGCATTTTTAACAAAAAAATTTTCCTTCTCCTTGTTCTGGAATACGCTCATATTTTCCACAAGCACATCTTCCACTCTTTATAGCTCCAAATATTTTTTCACAAAACAATCCATCTTTTTCTGGTTTTTKATTTYTGTAATGCAATGTATGAGGTTCTTTGACCTCTCCTACAACATCCCCATTAGGTAATATTCTTTCTGCCCATTTACGGATCTGTTTGGGTGAAGCTAGTCCAATTTGAAGAAACTGAGAACCTTTATGATGAATCATTAGCAAGATGTCTCACCGACTCTGTATGCTAGACCCTAGGTATAGACAACACGAAGCGAACTCTATGGCCCGAGTGCGAAGTTATCGGCAGCGGTGTTCCCTCGTCTCCGCTTTCCTCGAAATTACCATGGCTTTCCGGCCGCTCCAGTTGACTTGCCGGACCAGAACCCAGGTCTCCCCCCTCCGCCGCAGCCCCACTGGTTTCACAACCGCCGCACAACTGCAAGGGCGTCGATAGCTCCAGGGCAGGGCCGACGTCGCAGGGGCCGTCGAGGCAGACACCCCTCTCCTCCAACAAGTTAAAAAATTCTCAACCCAAAACAAATCCCCCCTGCCGCAGGAGGTCATTGTAGAATGGGGTGTTCATAGCACCCGCTCCGAACCCGTCGAACAAATCCATATCCAGCAACGCCCCCTTACAATTGTCGACGACGTTGCCCTTCGCCCCATAAACGTTTTGCATAAAAAAACGACGGTGAGTCCGTTTGGCGACGTGAACGGCCCCCAGCACCCTGTGCCGCTTGTTGGAGACGACGAAGACGACAGGTCCGCACGGTTGTTTAGTCGGGTCGGAAGCATCCCCACAGCACCAGTCGACGAACCATTTCGACCTCGAGTGGTCCGACCACGATTTCGACGCTGTAGTCGACCTTTTCGTGGAATCTTTCCCCGAACCCATCCTGGAGGTACTGACAGGCTGCCCCTCGTCCCTAGACGGAGACATCCTCCCTGCGGACGACAAAGCAAATATAGCAAACCACGACTTGGTCAAACCACGACTTTGGGGGCGTCCGACCACAGACCGAACGTTAACGAAAAACGACGAACAAACGTTGGAAAAGCCAGGTCGGATACGCCGGACGCATTTTGCCGCCGACGAATGACGAAGTTCTGATCACGACGAGCTACGCGCGCGAAGCCCTTTCACAAAACCCACCACCAAACAACGGAGAACTACGCACACGCAACCCCCGGTCAAGCGATCGAGGCGAAAAAAAAACGCAAAGCAAGCCGGGCACGATCTTAACGAGGGTTCGCGACAGCGAAACATAGAAGGACGCGTCGTTTGCCCGGATGAAGCCAATGTTTGAAGGCCGCACCGCGCTAACCATTCCCTGAATCCCCCCCCCCCCCCCCCCCCCCCCCCCCCCCCCCCCCCCCCCCCCCAAGGGCAGAACCCGAAGTTCAGATCCGGGCGAACTTGCACTATCTTCGCTACCCGCGGGCCACAGAGGAATGACACAGAGAAGAGCTGGCATGTGAAAATTTGTAGGCCACTGGGAATCGAATTTGAGGAGCGTGAGCGACAGCCATGGGGAGTGCGTGGCAAGATCCACAATCGGGCTGGCTCGCTTAGCCAGCGCCGCACTGTGCGCCGAATGGACCCGAACCCCGCAACATGGACCCCTAAGAGTGCTTTTGGCATTTTGCAACGACAACGACCGACTATTTGGCACATGTCGATGGTGGTCAGCGAGCATGTCCAGGCGGAAAGAGCAAAGACAAACCACCTCAAAGCCCGAGACGCGAACTTCCCGCGGATCCGAATATCTTGAAGTACGGATCCGGGCGGAGTACACATATTTACACAACTCGGGCCGACGACAGCCATGTTCGGATCCACGGTCCAGCAGGCTCGCTGCCCCCACATCCTGCGAAAGGCAAGAACCTGAAGTTCGTCGGGATCCGAACTTGGCAACATTGCATGGGAGGGACACAACTTGCCACGCACCTCTCCGTCCCAAACATTATGAAGTGCGGATCTCGGCAGACTTCGCATATTTGCACTCCACGACCTGGCGACAGCCACGTTCGGATCCACGGCCCGTCCGGCGCGCCGCAAACATATCTTGCAAAAGGCGGCGACCTGAAGTTCGTCGGGATCCGAACTTGCCGAGATTGCTTGTGGTAGACACGGTCGTCACAAATTTCGAAGCGCGGATCCCTGCGGGCTTCACAAAGTCCGACTATAA